ATATTATATATATATATATATATATACCTTACTCCAGGTAATATAAATATATATATATATATAAACACTGCACTAGCCAAGGACTCGAACCCATGCTGCTTTGGCCTGCCTCATGGTGGGCGAAAACGTATGACGCCCTAATCCACTGGACCATACGATCCTTACAAGTGGGGCATCCAGCGGAACTGGATGTGGTACTCCCTACCCAAGGACACACGATGGTGTGGATGACTCTAGGCTAATTTCATTCTAGTCCCTGTTTGGTATACTAGTTCAACGAGCAGTATTTTATATTATTGTGACCACGATCGAGTGGTATTGATCAATAACAACACTGCACTAGCCAAGGACTAGAACCCATGCTGCTTTGGCCTGCCAATAACAACACTGCACTAGCCGAAAACGGCTAGTGCAGTGTTGTTATTGATCAATATCATTCGTTCGTGGTCACAATAATATATATATATATATATATATATATAATATATATATATATATATATATATATATATATATATATATATATATATATATATATATATATATATATTTATATATATAAATTTGTAATTAATGGGTTTGGAGCAATCTGTCAGTTTATTTGCAGTCCGACACACACACCTCTGTGTGTATAACCTGCCATAAGTTACGTTAATTGAGTTTAATGTTAATAAACTACACGAGGTTCGTTAAGACTGCTTGTTCAACACGAGTTAGTGGTAATGTATTCCCAAATTTAAGAAAAAAGTTAACTCTCAATGTATACAACAATGAAATAGATTTTTGAACTTGGATGGAGACCGATCGTAAACTTAGGATTTAAAAATATTAGCTGGAGACCGTTCGTTAATGTAAAATATAAAGGAGATAACTTGGTGCAACTTAATACAATAACAAGTTGTTTGTGATCATTAAACTGTATGAATAATGAAATTTACTGTAATATTAAAGTAATGATGTGGAAATATCAGGCCTATCAATTTCTCTTCAGATTTTGTACGCAGTAATCATGTTCTTTGTCTTTCCAACCTCTAAGTTCGTAAGGATCAGTTTCTTTAACCTCTGTTATAGTGCATTACTCTCAGTTTTATTCCTAGTTTGGTTACAGACCTGGTTCTGATTGATTCTTTATTAAAGATCCTAAATATTCTTCTAAAGTTTGTTAATCTTTCACAAGCTGCTGCCGTTATACCGATTGTGTGCATTTCTGGCGATATGCTGGGTATTATATTCACTTCAGGTGTTTTCACTCTTTGATGTTTGTAGCTTCTGTCATGGTGTATTCTGTGTCCGGTTTGTCAGGTCTCCTAAAAGAATGCATGATATTGCATGTGTTTGGGCTGAACACGAGAAGCTCTTGCATGCCCACATCTGCAGTCTGTTTAGGTCTCTCCAGAGTTTATCACTGTCTTCTCCTGTTCTTATTCTTTTCATTAGTTTCACATCATCGGCAAACAGTAACACATAGGATTCACTCCCATTTGGTACAGTAATGGTCCTAAGACTGAGCCTTGTGGAATCCCACTTGTTATTCTCTCCCATTCGAATGTCTCATTTTTCACTGTTATTCTCAGCTTCTGTCACTGAAGTATTCCTCTACTCACTGCAGTACTCTGCGTGTTCCTTTGATTTCTGGACGATTATCTTATGTGGTTCAATATCAAATGCATCTCTACAATTCTTGAAAATGGAAATCAATCCAAATCTGTCATTCTTTCCATCTCGCAGAACTTGTTATAGAATTCCAGTAAATTCATAAGGGAGGATTTTCGATTCCTCAATCATTACTAGTTTTCTGAAAATATATATACCAGGTGTGTGTGTGTGTGTGTGTGTGTGTGTGTGTGTGTGTGTGTGTGTGTGTGCGCAGTTACCTATTTGTAGCTACAGTAGCAGAATTATTAGACTAGTGGTGTCTCGTCTTCAATATTCTCTTCATCATGTAGTTTAAAAATTTCTAATGGTTACACCTCGTGTTCTTTCTTTAATTCATTCCACTTGTCAATCAATCTAACTGAGATGAAAGTAATGAGATGAAAGTAATCTACTATCCTTTCCACTCGACTTTTTACTTACCTTGCAACGGTGGCTTCTTATCCGTGTTGCAGGAACTAAGAAATCTTATTCTCTCCATCAAATTCTTCCAAAGTTTTATATGTGGTTATCATTTCTCCTTGTTTCCTCCTGTCAGCCAACATGGCCTCGTTAATGTATTGAATCTTTCATTAAATAGTCACAATTCCGTGACTGTAGCAATACACAAATAACCCGCACATTAAAGAAAGAAGAAACCATACAACGGGTGGGGTTAGAACCCGCGATCAGAGATTCATCAAACTCCAGACCGTCGCCTTAACCACTGGACCAGTTGGCTACAATAAGATTCATCCAACTAGGTATGTTTATATGACTTATAGTAAATTCGATTTTCGGTCTGCACATATATATATATCAAATTTGCTAAGTTATTATGACAAAGTTACGGAATTATTCAAGAAAGAAATGGATAGGTTGATTGTATTTACCTAGATTTTAAGAAAACTTTTGATAGAGTTCCCCCTGAAGAACTATGTTGAAAACTGCAATAAATAATAGGACTTAAATGTAAATTATTTCAATCGATGAGAGACATTTTCTGTTTAAGAGGAAAAATATCTGCGTGGGTGGATGTCTTAAGTGGGGTGCCACAAGGGTCTGTACTTGCCCCAATAATATTTCTAATTAATATTTCTTATTAACTACTAGAAGGAATGAAATTATATATATAATTGTGCAGATAATGTATAAATTATATGCAAAATTAATGGTAAAACTGGAAATCCTTACGAGAGGATCTAGATACAATGAACACATGTAGTTACAGATGAATGATGGAAATTAATGTAGCTGAATACTATGTATAAGAAATGAGAGAGTGTCAGATAAGGTGATCTAGGAGTTGTTATTAACACAAAAAAAAAAAAAAAAAAAAAAAAAAAAAAGCTGTCACTGGAAGATCATGCAAATAAAACTGACATATTTATGGTATTGTGAAATATTATTCTTTAAATGTTGAATTAGTTTACTCTAAAGGCTTTTTCCAATAATTTTACAGCAGCATTTGGCAACTAAACTGACCTGTAGTTTAAAGGGACTTCTCCTCTTACCTTTTTTAACTAAAGGTACAGTATGTAGCTAACACTCCAGGTTCTTGTAAGAACCCAGAGCTATCACTCCACGTTCTTGTAAGAACCCAGAGCTGCTATCACTCCACGTTCTTGTAAGAACCCAGAGCTTCTATCACTCCAGGTTCTTGTAAGAACCCAGAGCTTCTATCACTCCAGGTTCTTGTAAGAACCCAGAGCTTCTATCACTCCAGGTTCTTGTAAGAACCCAGAGCTGCTATCACTCCAGGGACTTGTAAGAACCCAGAGCTGCTATCACTCCAGGGTCTTGTAAGAACCCAGAGCTGCTTTAACTCCAGGTTCTTGTAAGAACCCAGAGCTGCTTTAACTCCAGGTTCTTGTAAGAACCCAGAGCTGCTTTAACTCCAGGTTCTTGTAAGAACCCAGAGCTGCTTTAACTCCAGTTCTTGTAAGAACCCAGAGCTGCTTTAACTCCAGGTTCTTGTAAGAACCCAGAGCTGCTTTAACTCCAGGTTCTTGTAAGAACCCAGAGCTGCTTTAACTCCAGGTTCTTGTAAGAACCCAGAGCTGCTATCACTCCACGTTCTTGTAAGAACCCAGAGCTGCTTTAACTCCAGGTTCTTGTAAGAACCCAGAGCTTCTATCACTCCAGGTTCTTGTAAGAACCCAGAGCTTCTATCACTCCAGGTTCTTGTAAGAACCCAGAGCTTCTATCACTCCAGGTTCTTGTAAGAACCCAGAGCTACTATCACTCCAGGTTCTTGTAAGAACCCAGAGCTACTATCACTCCAGGTTCTTGTAAGAACTCAGAGCTGCTATCACTCCAGGTTCTTGTAAGAACCCAGAGCTTCTATCACTCCAGGTTCTTGTAAGAACCCAGAGCTACTATCACTCCAGGTTCTTGTAAGAACCCAGAGCTACTATCACTCCAGGTTCTTGTAAGAACCCAGAGCTGCTATCACTCCAGGTTCTTGTAAGAACCCAGAGCTGCTATCACTCCAGGTTCTTGTAAGAACCCAGAGCTGCTATCACTCCAGGTTCTTGTAAGAACCCAGAGCTGCTATCACTCCAGGTTCTTGTAAGAACCCAGAGCTTCTATCACTCCAGGTTCTGTAAGAACCCAGAGCTGCTATCACTCCAGGTTCTTGTAAGAACCCAGAGCTTCTATCACTCCAGGTTCTTGTAAGAACCCAGAGCTTCTATCACTCAGGTTCTTGTAAGAACCCAGAGCTTCTATCACTCCAGGTTCTTGTAAGAACCCAGAGCTTCTATCACTCCAGGTTCTTGTAAGAACCCAGAGCTTCTATCACTCCAGGTTCTTGTAAGAACCCAGAGCTGCTATCCCATCAGGATCTAGTAACAGTTTCTTACTTAATATTTAGCTATTTCAAAATCCTCTAGTTCGACTGGGATTAAAATTTCCTGCATGAAAAATATCTTTTGTCAGCTCTAAAAATTTCTATTTAATATTTCGCATATTTCCTTCTCTACCCAAGTGTTTCTGACGTCATTTATTCTTTGTAATTATTCTTCAATATTTTGGTTATCTTTTACAAACTTGTTCTTCTCTACCATTTCATTATCAATTTTTTTTCACCTTATCATGATATTTGTAAATTAATTTCTAACCTACATGAATCTCTGATAAGTTTATAGAATCGCCTCTCTCTGTCTCTCTCTGTTTCTGTCTCTCTCTCTGTCTCTGTCTCTCTCTGTTTCTGTCTCTCTCTGTCTCTGTCTCTTTCACAGGTCTCCAACACCTTCCATTAAACCATTCTCTATTATTCAGCCATGAATTCCTATTCACTATTATTAAGAATTATATGTGCTATAATTATGTACAAAACCCAGGAACAGTATAACATAGTTACTCACGTATAAGGCGGATGTCCGTCTTGAGGAGTAACGGTAAAATAGTCATTATTGAGCAACTGTGACCCAAGAAAGTTCTCTCTCATCCAGACGACCCTCGGGGCGGGATGGGCGGTGAAGAGGCAGGTGAGGCTTACAGTGGCGCCCACGGACGCCCACGTTGTTGGTTCGGGTCCCTTCACTTCTGGCATATAGTTGACGTGGACGATGATTTTCTTACTGATAGATGGTGGATGGCCATTGCTGGCGATGCATAGGTAACCGCCGGCGCTGCGCTGCGTCACATCCTGCAGCAGTAGTGAGCTACCAATGTAGTCCGTCACTGTAGGGGTGAAGGGAGGTCTCACATATACGTCACTGTCGGAGGTCAAGCGAGGTCACCTACATTTACGACTCAGAGGTCAAAACAATCTACTCTATAAATACACCCCATCCAGAAAATAATATGTGCATCATGTACACCACACCCAAGGAATAATGAGTACATCGTGTACACCACACCCAGAGTATAATGTACAGTAATGTACAGTACAGATCAAAAGAAGTCAAGATACGGTTTTAAAAATGCATCTTATAAAGTCATAAATTGTCTGAGGTTTTGTACTTAATGTTTCTAGCTTTAAAGGCTAATATCTGGTTTGCTTAGCTGCACGCAGACGGACGCTGCTTGGTACTTTTGAGGTCGTCACTAAGGTTGCCCCGATGCTCCTCTTCTCTATCACCGGCTATCTTCTTATCAAATATTTTGTATTCACATTAGACACGTTTGAACCACAATGCTTTATAATGAATTCCATGCTAATAAGACCAGTAGAAATTTTGGTGACGGTGATTTATCTCACTGGATGCTGTTCGGGCTGCGCTACACGAAGGAAAACAACCTTGGCCAAACATCTGCCACCCTCACCCTAATATTTTTTATGACGCCATATTTTTCCGTGAATTTGCTTCTCTCGGTTTTCATCATTTTTCTCTATTTCCTTTTATAACTTTCCCTTATTCTTTGAAATCTTCCTGAAATTTCAAATATAATTATGCTTATAAATTTCCGGTGGCCATTGGTTTTATATATGTAAGATATAAGATAAAACGCAGAAAATAAACACGTTTTAGTTTTCAGGTGAAGTGGAAGGCAGAGGAAAAACTACATTGAAACCCAAATTGAGAATATTATAGATATAAAGGTAATTCCCAGAATACACGACGACATGTAACATTGTTAGACATTACTATAAACATTTTCAAATAATATCCAGAAGACAATGTTGTTACGGCACCGGCATTGTCTGGTGTTACATGTCAACGACATGTAACACCAGACACGTAACTGTTACATATCAAAGACATGTAACATCAAACACGTGACTGTTACATGTCAAAGACATGTAACACATACACACTGACTGTAGTAAGACATGTAACAGTCACGACGTCTGGTAGTTCACTGATGTATGGATCTATCATGAATAACTCGTCAACACTCATAGTCAATCCTAAATGTCTTGATGCTAGTGATGAGTCTATGTTGAACACTTAAGCACAAGTATGAACTATGCTGAATACTCAAGCACAAGTATGAACCATGTTTAACACTCAAGCACAAGTATGAACTATGTTGAACACTCAAGCACAAGTATGAATTATGTTGAACACTCAAGCACAAGTATGAACCATGTTTAACACTCAAGCACAAGTATGAACCATGTTTAACACTCAAGCACAAGTATGAACTATGTTGAACATCAAGCACAAGTATGAATTATGTTGAACACTCAAGCACAAGTATGAACCATGTTTAACACTCAAGCACAAGTATGAACCATGTTTAACACTCAAGCACAAGTATGAACTATGTTGAACACTCAAGCACAAGTATGAATTATGTTGAACACTCAAGCACAAGTATGAACCATGTTTAACACTCAAGCACAAGTATGAACCATGTTTAACACTCAAGCACAAGTATGAACCATGTTTAACACTCAAGCACAAATATGAACTATGTTGAACACAAGGTACAAACTATGTTGTACAAGGTATGTAAGTGACCTTGTAATGTAGATCTTGTACAAGGTACGTAGGTGACTTTGTAATCCAGATCTTGTACAAGGTATGTAAGTGACTTTGTAATGTAGATCTTGTACAAGGTACGTAGGTGACTTTGTAATCCAGATCTTGTACAAGGTATGTAAGTGACCTTGTAATCCAGATCTTGTACAAGGTATGTAAGTGACTTTGTAATCAAGATCTTGTACAAGGTATGTAAGTGACTTTGTAATCAAGATCTTGTACAAGGTACGTAGGTGACTTTGTAATCCAGATCTTGTACAAGGTATGTAAGTGACCTTGTAATCCAGATCTTGTACAAGGTATGTAAGTGACCTTGTAATCAAGATCTTGTACAAGGTATGTAAGTGACCTTGTAATCAAGATCTTGTACAAGGTATGTAAGTGACCTTGTAATCAAGATCTTGTACAAGGTATGTAAGTGACCTTGTAATCAAGATCTTGTACAAGGTATGTAAGTGACCTTGTAATCAAGATCTTGTACAAGGTATGTAAGTGACCTTGTAATCAAGATCTTGTACAAGGTAGCTTCAAAGCTATCATCATGATTCATGGAATCATATTATCATGATTGTAAACAATCGACAAGTACGATCGACAAGTGTGTCCTTGTCGATCGCTTGCATTGCAAAATTAAACAATCACTATTTCGCACTAGCGACACTTGATCATCATATGACCTTGACAGTCTATATCTTATTAGGAAGCTCTCCAGGTCTGTTCGAAAAGTCTTAAAAATAAAAGTGGAAGACCAGGAAACTAAACCGAATTTGAATTCATGTGAAAAAGTTAGCGGTTAGTGTTTAGCGTTCACTTCCGTTAGCAGAGCTAATTTTTTTAGTTATCGGATTAGCGGTTAGTAAAGCTAACTTCTCGGTTAGCTGTGCCCACCACTGCTCTTCAGTGCACCACTCACCTTTTTCCCCTCGTCAGTTCTATGATTCACCTCATCTTTCATAGACTCATCTGCTGACACGTTCACTCCCAAATATCTGAATACATTCACCTCCTCCATACTCTCTCCCTCCAATCTGATATCCAATCTTTCGTTACCTATTTTTTTATCATCACCACCTTACTCTTATCTATATTCACTTTCAATTTTCTTCTTTTACATGCCCGACCAAACTTATTTACCATCCTCTGCAACTTCTCTTCAGAATTTCCCAAAAGCACAGTGTCATCAGCAAAGAGCAACTGTGACAACTCCCACTTTGTGAAAGATTCTTTATCTTTTAACCCCACACCTCTTGCCACCACCTGAACATCACACATCCTTGTCTAAGGCCTACTTTTACTAGGAAATAATCTCCCTCTCGCCTACATACTCTAACCTGGGCCTCACTATCCTCGAAAAATCTCTTCACTGCTTTCAATCGCAAGTTTTACGACATATATATGCTTAACAATTCACAAACAGGTGAAATTATTTACAAACATCATCTCTACGTCCAGAGCAGGACTCGAACTTGCAAACTCTGTATTAGAGTACACAGTTCTCTGCCACGAACTTTGAAAACAAGCCTGGTTCTCCGGGGTATAGGGAAACATCGTCTACCTGCGGCTAGGCGCCCATACTTATCTGGGGTCTCGTTGACACCAGCCGTGGCCTCACAGTGAGGCCACGGCTGGTGTCAACCCGCACGGCTCGTCGAGTTTGTTCATACACAAACTCGACGAAAATCAGACTGAAATGAAAGTAAATCATTGACTTTAAATATTGCTAAATATATTTGCATTCATCTGTGATATATTTTGTAGAACCAGACTGAAATATATCCCCCTGACTAGGTGAGGTTAGGTGAGTATCTAGGTTACTAAAATTTATTATGCTATTTTCATAATTGAAAGAAAGGGAGAGAGAGATAGATAGATAGATAGATAGACAGACAGAGAGAGAGAGAGAGAGAGAGAGAGAGAGAGAGAGAGAGAGAATGATAACACACAAAGTGAGTACCCACATATATATTACCAAAGTGAGTATGGGTGATCCTGATGCGGTCGTAGTCCTCCCTGACCCACCTGATGGTGGGCGTGGGCGTGCCGTGGGCGCGGCATGTCAGGTTGGCTGAAGCTCCTCTGTTTACTGTCACCTCTTCGTCTCCACCGTCCAAGACGGGAGGCTCTGGCAGAGAGTACGACAGGTGAGTACATGCTCAAATATTAATTTATTAGATCCCTTAAGGGGTAAAGAGGTAAAGAGGTAAAGAGGTAAAGTGGTAAAGAGGCTATTAGTCTGAGGAATTGGACCTTTTGGTCTTCTTCCTGAGTCCAAACCTAATCTCCCCCCAGTCCCCCCCTTCCCTATCCCATCTTCCCCATCCCTCCCTCCCTTTCCTCCTCCTCCTATCCCTATCCCTCCCTTATCCCCTTCTCGTTTTCAACCTTGGGGTTCTTCCCTCAGGCCTTTAGTTCCTAGGTAGGGGAAAGTGTACAGTGTTCCAACCCATTCCGTTGAGCTTCGTGGTGGTGGTGTAGTTTGCCGTGGAATTTGGATCAACTGGGAATGTCCCATTCCCTCTCCGGTTCTCAGGTGGCGGCTTTGGGTGTCTTTCGGGTGATGGGTGTATTTATGGAGGCTGCATCTCGGATTCTGGGAGGTGGTGGACGAAGGAGGTATACTTTGTGGCGGGTATCCGCTGCTCACTCTCTTGTCCACGGGTGTGGCTCAGTAGATGTGAGGTTGCTATCGCGGATTGCTGGTTTACTGGCATGAAGGGTAGGGTATGGCAAGGGTTCCATGCCTCATCTGCACTACTTGGGGTGCTGGGGCACTCTTGGGCGCAGAGGGAGATTTACGGCCCTTTCATTCCTCCTAGGAGCTATCCCTCCACGTCCCCCACTTTTTTTTATTCCTTTTTCTTTCCTTTTTTCCTTTGTTTTCTAAAAATAAAATGAAAGAAATGACATAACCATGAAGTTCCAAATCCATGAACAACCTCCTCCCGGACCCCATTCTGCTACCACACCCTGTTCCGACCTTATCTCGTTATGTGATCATTCTTTGGACTTTCTAATGCCCCTGTACCTTCTGCTGGTGTCGTTTCGTCATCAGCTCCAGGTGCCGACGTTCCACCTGACTCCTTCCATACATCCGACCTCCGCATTTCTTTGACCATACTTCCGGCTTCTCCCTCTTATTGTGCGACAATACTCGGATCACCCGCCCATCTCAAGTCGAACCAACTCCGGTCCCACACCTAAACGGCCAAGACCATTATCTGATGACACGTCTATTACTTATCACTCTGCCCAGGAAAGACCGGCACGATTCTCGCTTCCCTTACACACTACGTTTCAAAGGTCACAATAGACTAAGGCTTTTTACTCTACAACCGACATCTCCAACTGACTGTCCTTCAGATCTTAATATCGGCAAAGCGCTCCTACGACATGTTGGTCGAAATATTAAATTTTATGCTATCAAGAGCAGTGCACGCATAGTCACGGTGCACAATGCTGGCCAAGCCCACGATCTTTCTCTCTTTACCACAGTAACAATTTAAAACACAATTCTCTCAATTCTTGTAGTGGTATCGTCATTGTACCTCATACCATTGTTCAACACAACTTCCAGACATGTGGTGACGACATTCTCGAACAACTCGAGGTCCAAGACGTCCCAATTCTCAAAGCAGACACGTATATATATCTGGTCTCAGGCGGAGACGCTTGCTTAACTTTTGACTGTCGTGAGCTTCCGTCCTCAGTTTATAATGCTGGAGACGGCTTTAAGTCCCTACATCACAAACGTGCAGAAATTGCTGGAGTTTTGGACCACCCAGCAAAATATTGCAGGTCCATGACAGAGTGTCTAGCCTGTGGTGTTGAAGAACATACAGCTACATCCTGCAACTTGATTCCCTCTTGTCTTAATTGTAATGAGGCTCACCTGGCTTTTTCTCTCCGTTGCCAAGTTTACGTAAATGAACGAGAAATTCGTTGTCACAAAGAGAAAGAAGGTTTCACATATGCCATGGCAGTCGCCTCCAGGGGAGACTTCCACGACTTTCTTATTCTAGAGTTACTAAGAGACTTCCAACCTCGGTAGTACCTAGTTCAACTGTCTCTAGTGTCACAACTTCCTCTGTCACCTCTATCTCTAACTCTTTTGCAGCCCTCACCTCCGAGGTCCCTACCTCGATGCCTAATACTGTTCTTGAATAGAGACAGGATAGGCAACGACAGACAGGAAAACTCAGCCTCCGGGAGGACACCAAATACGCATGCTTACAGAATCCTCTCAACCCCTGTCACTCCATATCAACCAAATACAATAACCAGAAATAAATCACATTCCACAGCCCCTTTTCCCCCCAAACACTATCACAATCACAGCAGCCTTCCATAATATTCCGCCCTGCCTTCCACATTCCCAGCCTGCACCATCCTCTTCCACCTCTCAAAATACAGTACTGGAAATGAAGCTAAAGGTATGGTACACCAGTGCAGATGGAATAACAAATAAGAGTGAGGAGTAGCAAGAACGAATCAGTGATGCATCCCCCTGACATCACAGCACTAACAGAACAAAACTTACAGGGATGATAACAGATGCACTCACACCAACTGGAAAGACAGATTGAACAGAGGAGGAGGAGGAGGATGGGCAGTGCTCATCAAAAACTAGTGGAGTTTTGAATAAATGGGAGGAATTGACAGATGGGAATCAGGTGAATTCATTTTAGGAACACTTCAGACTGGGGTTCCAAAGGTAATGATAGCAGTGATGTATAACCCACCACTGAATCGCAGGAAACCAAGACAAGAGTGTGATGATTGCAACAGAGCAATGGTGGATACACTAGCTGAAGTGGCCAGAATGGCTCATGTGGGTAGGCCAAATTTACTCGTCATGGGGGACTTTAATCATGAAGAGATAGACTGAGAAAACCTGGAGCCACATGGGAGACTAGAAACGTGGAGGGCTCAGATGTTGGAGACAGCACTGGAGAACTTCATGCACCAAAATATTAGGGATACACCCAGAGAGAGAGAGAGAGAGAGAGAGAGAGAGAGAGAGAGAGAGAGAGAGAGAGAGAGAGAGAGAGAGAGAGAGAGAGAGAGAGAGCATGCTGCAGCAAGGCTGGATTTCATATTCAGCTTGAACGGTTCAGACACAGGGGATATCACACACGAAAGGCCTCTTGGCGTTAGTGATCACGACGTCCTGAGTTTTGAATACCTTGTAGAGCTAACAGTGGAGAATGCAGCAGCACGAGAAGGATGGGAGAAGCGAAACTTCAAAAAAAAAAAAAGAACATGAAGTGCAGTGTGAAAGTGAACTAGAGAGAAAAACAGTAAATGAAATGTGGAACTAGTGACCAATAAGTGTAGGGAGGCAGAGAAGTTCATATCTATGGGTAACAGAAAAAATGGTAAGACCAGAGTGAGCATGGTTTAACTGGAGGTGTAAAGAGGCCAAAGCCAATTGTGCTAGAGCATAGAAAAAGTATAGAAGGCAAAGACTCAAGAAAACAAGGAGCTGAGCAAAAGAACCAGAAACGAGTATGTAGGGATAAGGAGAGAAGCCCAGAAGAAATACGAGAATGACATAGCGTCAAAAGTGGTATAAACTTTGGTAATAAATACCGACAGGTTGGTTTAGAAAGACACGTAAGCAAACACTATGACATATTTATTAGAAAACGTTTAGGTCCTGGGACCTTGATCGCTTCTAACATCAAAAGTCAAAAGTCAAATCTGAAACAAAGTTGTTATAGAGTCACATCAGGAGATAAACAACAGTCAAGGACCAGGTACTCAGGCTGAGGAAAGAAGGAGGGGAGCTCACAGACAGTGACCAGGAAGTATGTGATGAACTTAACACAAGATTAAGATAAGTATTCAGAGTAGAGACAGAAATGCTTCCACAAACTGTGGAGGTAGGGTGCACCAGCAAGTGTTGGACACAATACACATAACCAAAGGGGTAGTGAAGAAAATGCTAGGTGAACTAGATACCTCGAAGGCAGTGCGCCCAGATAACATAGGAACTGTTTATGTCGCTACCAGCAATCTTCAATAAATCTATCAAAACAGGGAAATTGCCTGAGGTGTGGAAGACAGAAGATGTACTTTCAACTTTTAAGAAAGGAGACAGACAGGCAAGGTTAAACTACAGACCAGTGTCACTAGTATGTATTGTATGTAAAGTCATGGAAAAGATTATCAGGAGAAGAGTGGTGGAACACATCGATAGGATCGCGCTCTTACATGACAATCAGCATGGCTTCAGGGATGGAAAATCCTGTGTCACAAATCTATTTTAGTTCTATGATGAGGTAACAGAAGTAAGACAGGAGAGAGGGATGGGTAGATTGTATTTTTCGGATTGCAAACAGGCTTTTGACACAGTACCACACGAGAGACTGGTTCAAAAATTAGAGGAACATTCAGGTATAGTAGGGAAAGTACTGCAGTGGATCAGGGAATACCTGACGGGAAGGAAACAACGAGTGCTGATACGTGATGAAGTGTTAGAGTGGGAGCATGTGTCCAGTGGGATTCCACAAGGGTCAGTCCTAGGTCCGGTGCTGTTTCTTGTATACGTGAATGACATAATGGATGGAATAGATTCAGAAGTATTACTGTTTGCTGATGATGTGAAACTGATGAGGAGAATACAGGTGGGCGAAGATCAGGAAAGATTACAAGGGGATCTGTATAGGCTACAGGTTTGGTCCGACAAATGGCTCCTGAAGTTCAACCCCAGCAAGTGCAAAGTCATGAAGATTGAGGAAGGACAAGAAAAGACCGCTGAAGGAGTACAGGTTAGGGGAGCAAAGGCTGTAAACTTCACTTAAAGAAAAGGATCTTGGGATAAACATAATACCGAACATGCCCCCTGAGGCACACATCAATAAAATAACTGCTGCAGCATGTGGGAGCTTGACATCAAAGTAAGGAGTCATTCATGGCACTGTACACTGTGTATGTCAGGCCCATACTGGAGTATGCAGCTCCTGTTTGGAACCCACACCTAGTTAAACAAGTCAAGAAACTGAAGAAAGCGCAAAAGTTTGCAACAAGACTATTTCCGGAGCTGAGGGGTATGTCTTACGAGGAGAGGTTAAGGAAACTCAACCTGATAACACTAGAGGAGGAATTGACAAAGTGGTCAGGGTTCGAATGTGATATGGGACACAGGAACAAGGAGAAACAATTAGAAATTGAAAACCCAGATGAATCATAGAGATGTTGGGAAGTATTTTTTAGGCATAGAATTATCAGGAAGTGGAATAACCTGGAGAGTGAAGTAGAGGAGGGAAATTCCATACACAGCTTAAAGAATAAGTATGATAACGCTCTAGGAGTGGGGAGAGAGTGACCTAATATCGACCAGTGAAGAACCGGGGCTCAACCCATGCAACGGCATATAGGTGAGTACATGCAGGCGAGTACACAAACACAAACACACACATACACACACACACACACACACACACACACACACACACACACACACACACACACACACACACAAATGAATACACAAACACGCGTGAACACAAAGCACGTGCGTACAGAGACACACACATTGTGTGAGTGTGTGTCAAGTCTTCTTCCAGACCAGACATCCTCGGTCTCCTGGCCTTTACGTCCTCTCTTTTGAGGTCCCATTTTTTGTTTTATACTCTCAGAATGTTCTAGTTTCTGGAGTCTGTAAACTTTGTGTAGAGGTATGTGTGTGTACTCACCTAGCTGTACTCACGTAGTTGTAGTTGCAGGGGTCGAGTCACAGCTCCTGGCCACGCCTTTTCACTGGTCGCTACTATGTCACTCTTCCAGATCCATGAGGTTTACCATACCTCTTCTTAAAGCTATGTATGGATCCTGCCTCCACTACATTATTTCCCAGACTATTCCACTTCCTAACAACTCTGTGGCTGAAGAAATACTTCCTAACATCCCTGTGATTCATCTGAGTCTTCAACTTCCAACTGTGACCCCTTGTTGTTGTGTTCCATCTCTGGAACATCCTGTCCACCTTGTTGATTCCTCTCAGTATTTTACATGTCGTCATCATATCCCCCCTATCTCTCCTGTCCTCCAGTGTCGTCAGGTCGATTTCCCTTAACCTCTCCTCGTAGGACATACCCCTTAGCTCTGGGACTAGTCTTGCTGCAAACCTGCACTTTCTCTAGTTTCCTTACATGCTTAGCTAGGTGAGGGTTTCAAACTGGGTCTAACGTACACAATGTACAGGGTCCAGAACGATTCATTATTAAGATGTTGGAATGCTGTTCTGAGGTTTGCTAGGCGCCCATTCGGGCAGTAGTTATTTAGTTGATCTGTGCCTCAAGAGATATGCCCGGTGTTATACTCACCCCAAGATCCTTTTCTTTGAGTGAGGTTTGTAGTCTCTTGTCCCCTAGACTGTACTCCGTCTGCGGTTTTTTTTGCCCTTCCCCAATCTTCATGACTTTGCACTTGGTGGGGTTGAACTCTCGGAGTCAGTTCCTGGACCAGGCATGCAGCCTGTCCAGATCCCTTTGTAGTTCTGCCTGGTTCTCGTCTGATTGAATTCCTCTCATCAACTTCACCTCATCTGCAAACAGGGACAGTTATGAGTCTATCCCTTCCGTCATGTCGTTCACATATACCAGAAACAGCACCGGTCCTAGGAGTGACCCCTGTGGAACCCCGCTGGTCACAGGCGCCCACTGTGACACCTAGCCACGTACCATGACTCGCTGTTGTATTCCTGACAGGTATTCCCTGATCCATTGCAGTGCTTTATCCATGCCTGGTCCTCCAGCTTTTGCACTAATCTCTTGTGTGGAACTGTATCAAACGCCTTCTTACAGACCAAGAAAATGCAATCTACCCACCCCTCTCTCTCTTGTCTTACTGCAGTCACCATGTCATAGAACTCCAGTACATTTGTAACACAGAATTTCCCATCCCTGAAACCATGCTGGCTGTCGCTGATAAGCTCATTCCTTTCTAGGTGATCCACTACTTTGTGGTGGAGCACCTGTGTGTGTGTGTGTGTGTACTTACCTAATTGCATTCACCTAGTTGTGGTTGCAGGGGTCGAGTCATAGCTCGTGGCCCCGCCTCTTCACTTATCGCTACTGGGTCCCCCCTCTCTCTGCTCCACCATGAGCTTTTTCATACCTCTTCTTAAAACTCTGAATGGATCCTGCCTCCACCACATCGCCTCCCAAACTATTCCACTTCCTGACTACTCTGTGAATGAAGAAATACTTCCTAACATCTCTGTGATTCATCTGAGTCTTCAGCTTCCAACTGCGTCCCCTTGTTGTTGTGTTCCATCTGTGTGTGTGTGTGTGTGTGTGTGAGTGTGTGTGTGTGTGTGTGTGTGTGTGTGTGTGTGTGTGTGTGTGTGTGTGTTTGTTTGTGTGTGTATTCTCATCTAGTTGTACTCACCTAATTGTGGTTGCAGGGGTCGATTCACAGCTAATGGCACCGCCTATTCACTGGTCGCTACTAGGTCAATCTCCCTCCTCCATGAGCTTTATCATACCTCGTCTTAAAACTATGTATGGCTCCTGCCTCCACTATCTCACTTGCCAGACTATTCCACTTCCTGACAACTTTATGACTGAAGAAATACTTCCTAACATCCCTTTGACTCATCAGAGTCTTCAACTTCCAATTGTAACCCCTTGTTTTTTGTGTCCCACCTGTGTGTGTGTGTGTGTGTGTGTGTGTGTGTGTGGTGTGTGTGTGTGTGTGTGTGTGTGTGTGTGTGTGTGTGAGGATTAGTTTGTGGGTGTGTCTGTGATAGCCTGTGTGTTTGAGTTTGTGTGTGTTAATGTATTAGCATGACTGTGAGATTGTGGATTATGTTGGTATGAGCATTTCAAACCAACACACACACACACACACACACCCACACACACACACGCACGCACACATGGGGCCAGGAGCTATGAATCGACCCCTGCAACACCTCAACACAACGTTTACAGACTCCAGGAACTAGAACATTCTAACAGGATAAAACATAAAATATTACATGGGAAGGGAGGACATACAAGACAAAGGAACTGAGGATGGCTGGTCTAGAGGAAGAATGGGTAGAAAGACTCAAGAACAAAATGGAATGAGAATGGGAAAAAAGACTAAAAGAAGATTTCTGAAGAGAGCAAGAAGTGGGAATTATGAGCTGTAGCTGCTGAGACAAAGATACAGAGTCTGGAGGAAGAACTGGAAGTACTGAAGCAGGATATAAAGACGAGGACTGAAAGGAGCAAGGTGGTAGAAATAGAAACACTAGTGGACAGTGAGGGGCTGAAGGAGAGGAAGGAGCTAAAAAGCCCTTTGTAAATGTAATATCAGGCCACTGGAGTGTCTGAGAGATAAAGGAAGCAACAGAGGAGATGCTTAAATCAGATCCTGGGATAAGGAGGTAAAAGAATTGGAAAGAGAGGGAGAGGTCAATAATATTCATGAGATGGAAAACATACCATTATCACCGTGAAGAACAGATCATCACCATGAAGAACAGATCGCCATGAAGAACAGACCACCATGGAGAACAGACCATCACCATGAAGAACAGAACACCATGGAGAACAGATTATCACCATAGAGAACAGACCATCATCACCATGGAGAACAGACCATCACAATGAAGAACAGACCATCACCATGGAGAACAGACCATCATCACCATGGAGAACAGACCATCATCACCATGGAGAACAGACCATCATAATGAACAGACCCTCATCACCACGAAGAACAGATCACCAAAAGAACAAACCTTCATCACCATGAACATAGAACATGGCCATGAACACACCCACACACTGTATTAGTTTACTTTCTGGATGAAAGTTAATTTCTGTTCTTTTTATTGTTGTTTTCGTCAAACTCTGGATAACTGTTCACTCCTTTCTTCTCCTGTTATGTGTTCTACCTATCTTTGTATATCACTAACTGCAGATATCTTCTTCTCCCCTACTTTATATATGCTTTAGCTGCAGATATTTTCTCTTCTCCAACTTCATATATCCTCGCAGATATCTTCGTTACCCTTTTATGTATATTCCCCTTACTTAAGAAATCTATTTCTTGCTTGTGAATGATTATTTCGTCGTTCTTGGACATAACTAGAAGCATTCAGAGTGAGATTTTTTCCTCTGTGTTGCTCGTGCGTGAGTACGTTGGTAACTGACCTGCAACAGCCAGGTACCCGGTGATGGAGCGAGGTGGAGATGTATTGACTTGACACCAGTAGTGTCCCTGGTCTTGCATGGTGATGTTGGCGATGGTGAGCACCCAGGTGGAGCGCTGTTCCCGCTGGATGGTGATACGGGGGTTGTTGGTGACCACCTGTGTGGAGACAGTCAGCACTGCACCAGTCCCCTTGTAACCCCAGGCTACCTGTCAACAACACAAACCAGTAAATATTAGCCAATAGATGTGTTTTTAATGCGTCCCTTCCTTTGTATAAGTGAATGACATGATGGGATTGATTTAGAGGTGACCCTTCTTGCAGACGACGTGATGCATTAACAAAGAATTCAAACGGACGAGGATCAGGTAGGACTAAGAAAGGAATCTGGCCCAGCAAATGGCTCTTCGAGCCATTCAAGCTCTTCGAGCTTGAATGATGAATATTATAAATACTCTGATGACACCTATGAACAAGGCTATTGTGCACTTTATGTTCACTATCAGTCTGATAATACACACATTGAGTCAACACACACACCGTCAAAGTCCTGTTGAACGCTATATTTATACTTAATATCAGAAAGTACAGCACAATCATCATTTAATCATTTTGTTACTTAAATTTGCTTCGATTATTGTACGAATATTTTATGTGACTCCATTACTTCAACTTCTCACCTAAGAATGTTTTTACTGGTAGTTCAATAACATTTTTACTGGAAGTTCAATAACATTTTTACTGGTAGTTCAATAACATTTTTACTGGTAGTTCAATAACATTTTTACTGGTAGTTCAATAACATTTTTACTGGTAGTTCAATAACATTTTTACTGGTAGTTCAATAACATTTTTACTGGAAGTTCAATAACATTTTTACTGGTAGTTCAATAACATTTTTACTGGTAGTTCAATAACATTTTTACTGGTATTCAATAACATTTTTACTGGTAGTTCAGTAAACATTTTACTGGAAGTTCAATAACATTTTTACTGGTAGTTCAATAACATTTTTACTGGTAGTTCAATAACATTTTTACTGGAAGTTCAATAACATTTTTACTGGAAGTTCAATAACATTTTTACTGGAAGTTCAATAACATTTTTACTGGTAGTTCAATAACATTTTTACTGGTAGTTCAATAACATTTTTACTGGTAGTTCAATAACATTTTACTGGTAGTTCAATAACATTTTTACTGGTGTTCAATAACATTTTTACTGGTAGTTCAATAACATTTTACTGTAGTTCAATAACATTTTTACTGGAAGTTCAATAACATTTTTACTGGTAGTTCAGTAACATTTTTACTGGAAGTTCAATAACATTTTTACTGGTAGTTCAATAACATTTTTACTGGTAGTTCAATAACATTTTTACTGGAAGTTCAATAACATTTTTATGGTAGTTCAATAACATTTTTACTGGTAGTTCAATAACATTTTTACTGGTAGTTCAATAACATTTTTACTGGTAGTTCAATAACATTTTTACTGGTAGTTCAATAACATTTTTACTGGAAGTTCAATAACATTTTTACTGGTAGTTCAATAACATTTTTACTGGAAGTTCAATAACATTTTTACTGGAAGTTCAATAACATTTTTACTGGAAGTTCAATAACATTTTTACTGGTAGTTCAATAACATTTTTACTGGAAGTTCAATAACATTTTTACTGGTAGTTCAATAACATTTTTACTGGTAGTTCAATAACATTACCACATTTTTTCAAGTAAATGTCACCAGGAAACTTTGATTAAAGATAAAATAGGCCTAAGTTAAATGAATTACTTTAACTACAGGAACACCTGAAGGAATATTTTCTCTATATATCCTAGAGAAGAAAAATAGTTTACATCAATATTTTTCCTTTGTCAGATATAATTTTATATATATATATATTTTTAAATCTATGTATTGTATACTGGCACTTATAGATAATGTAATCGTCAAAATAAAATTATGGGAAGATGCTGGGATTTTATTAAGGTCGAGATAATAATATAAAATATTGCATGCTTAAATGTAATCTATATAATCTAATAACTTCAACACAAGTGTGAAAAGTCTATCAGATACAAAGAAGGAAAGTCTTAGCATGAGTTGGTGGTTAATGGAAATGATTCTGTATATTTCCAGCCAGTCTCGTTCATGACTGACTGGAACAACTGTTATGATCTTTCAACACTGTGATATGCTCTGTAACAAGGCTTGCCTTTGCTGGGATGATGATGTGACCTACCTTAACCCTCAGACGAAATATACGAACAGTCTGGTGTTCGATAGTGGTGAACTGAGATTACCCACATGTTTGTACATAAATAAACACATACACACACACACACACACACACACACACACACACTAGAGAAAGTGCAAAGGTTTGCAACAAGACTAGTCCCAGAGCTAAGAGGTATGTCCTACGAGGAGAGGTTAAGGGAAATCAACCTGACGACACTGGAGGACAGGAGAGATAGGGGGGACATGATAACGACATACAAAATACTGAGAGGACATTGACAAGGTGGACAAAAACAGGATGTTCCAGAGATTGGACACAGTAACAAGGGGACACAGTTGGAAGCTAAAGACACAGATGAATCACAGGGATGTTAGGAAGTATTTCTTCAGCCACAGAGAAGTCAGTAAGTGGAATAGTTTGGGAAGCGATGTAGTGAGGCAGGATCCATACATAGCTTTAAGCAGAGGTACGATAAAGCTCACGGCTCAGGGAGAGTGACCTAGTAGCGATCAGTGAAGAGGCGGGGCCAGGAGCTCGGACTCGACCCCCGCAACCTCAACTAGGTGAGTACAACTAGGTGAGTACACACACACACACACACACACACACACACACACACACACACACACACACACACACACAGAGTGAATATCTGTCAGGAAGACAACAGCGAGTCATGGTACGTGGCGAAATGTCAGAGTGGGCACCTGTAACAGCGGGGTGCCACAGTGCCACAGGGATAAGTCCTAGGACCGGTGCTGTTTCTGGTATTTGTGAACATGACGGAAGATGTGGAGAAATTTCTCCAGGATGGGGGTATCAGCCCCTTCAGCCTGAGGGGCCCAGATCTCTCAGAAGGGGCAAGCCTCTTTACTGCTACATCAAGTAATTGATCCCAGATGCAGTACGAGCATGTGACATGGTCATGCGGCTCCTTGCAAGAGACCAGTGTTGCAAGTAGTGTAGTTTAAATAAGAGACAATCAATCTCTTACCTTAGCAGGACAATTAAGGAAAATCCTGCACCCACTTTATTACCATGTTATTACATTGTTGTCTATGCTTAAGACAGCAAAAATCAAGCATTCCGCATTGCTTCACAGTGGAAGTTTGGCAAGGAGGGGAAATGTGCTAGGTCAGCTTTTTCTTTGTGGTTAGAGGCAGTGACGGTGTAGGGTGTTGTGGTGTCTTCAGATTGCAGTATATAATGGTGCAGTAAAGACCACTTCACGCTAAGAATGAACAAAGGAAGCGAATTGTGCATTGCTGTACCTCAGACAATCTCCATAATAACTATAAACCTATTACCAAGAAGTGTGTTCACCTTCTTTAATGACATTACCACGAAAGACAAACCTTGAGGAAAATAGTATACCAGTATACATATTCCTAGACTGTGGAAGACGTGGACGTTCTCAAAGACACTATTCTTCAATTCAAGACACTGATACCTGGGTATAAGGGTCTGATACACAAACCCAGATAAGTCTGTTTAGCGTGTGATGATTCCATTGACAGCGCAGTTGAGAACTCTGTATACTAAACAGATTACCATATACCCCGGTTATTGGAGGGCCATCGAGCCCACACCAGTTCGTATATTCAGAATTCAGTTATGAAAAATGCTGAAATAACACCCCCTAGGGTAATTAAACTTACACATAATAATTAAATTCCAGCCCATGAGGGATAACAACGACAGCTTCTCAAGACATCACCTTGAGGGACGGCTGTGTAGGCGAGAGCTGTCTATCAAGCTAAGTCCCCCCCTACAGTCCACTATTTAATCTTTGACTTAGCTTAGTAGCATTTTCCTCAACAGAAGGAATAGACTCTGAAGTGTCTGTATTTGCAGATGATGTGAAGTTGATGAGAATTAAATCGGACGAGGAACAGGCAGAACTACAAAAGGATCTGGACAGGCTGCAGGCCTGGTCCAGAAACTGGCTTCTGGAGTTCAGCCCCACCAAGTGCAAAGTCATGAAGATTGGGAAGGGCAAAGAAGACCACAGACGGAGTACAGTCTAGGGGGCCAGAGCCTACAAACTTCACTCAAGGAAAAGGATCTTGGGGTGAGAATAACACCGGGCACATCTCCTGAGGTGCACATCAACCAAATAACTGCTGCAGCATACAGGTGCCTAGCAAACCTAAGAACAGCATTCAGACATCTAAATAAGGACTCATTTAGGACCCTGTACACTGTGTACGTTAGGCACATACCGGAATATGTAGCGGCAGTTTGGAACCCTCACCTAGCCAGGCATGTAAGGAAACTAGAGAAAGTACAAAGGCTTGCAACAAGGCTAGTCCCGGAGCTAAGGGTATGTCCTATAAGGAGAAGTTTAGGGAAATAGACTTGACGACACTGGAAGACAGGAGAGATAGGGGATGATATAACGACATATAAAATACTTATAGGTAGACAAGGTGGACAGAGATAGGATGTTCCAGATACGTGACACAGACACAAGGGGTCATAGTTGGAAGTTGAAGACTCAGATGGATCACAGGGGTGTTGGGAAGTATTTCTTCAGTCACAGAGTTGTCAGGAAGTGGAATAGCTTGGGTAGTGATGTAGTGGAGGCAGGATCCATACAGAGCTTTAAGATAAGGTATGATAAAGCTCACGGAGCGGGAAGAGTGACTGAGTAGCGGTCAGGTGAAGGGGCGGGGCCAGGAGCTGTGATTCGAGCCCTGCAACCACAACTAGGTGAGTACAATTAGATGAGTACATGCACACACACACACACACACACACACACACACACACACACACACACACTTGTCGGTGATTTCAATCACAAGGAGATAGAATGAGAAAACCTGGAACCACATGTGGGACCAAAACGTGAAGAGATATAATGATGGAGGTGGGGCTCGATAACCTTATGCATCAACATGTTAGGGACACTACCAGAGAGAGAACAGAGGATAAACCAGCAAGACTGGTCCTCATATTCAT